TTCGTGATTGATAATTGTCGAATAGCGAAAAGAAAGGAATTTTTAAAATTCTCTTATGTTTATTAATAATTATTAATGTGTAAAGTATGCAACATAATGTTACATGATATTAATAGTTATTGCTATTGTGATGTGAAATTCTGTTCCCCGTGATCCAGTAGTAAAAATGAAATAATTTCTAATTCAATTCTTCACACATTTAACAATAATTAGATGAATAATTGATAATCATTATACAAATGATTATACAAACATTTTATAAATTACATATTATTCTGAATAAGATATTGTAAATTATTAATAATATTTTGAATATTACTTATTAAATGGTATATATTAAATAATAAATTAATATATTATATGTTACATTATAAAAATTTAATAATACGTTAATTCATTTATTTATATGTACTAAAAACTTAAATAATTATTAATAAATTTAATATATGATGATCTTAAGAATTCTTTCTCTCATGCATTCAAAATTTCACATCGACAATATTATGCATTATTAATAATTAATTACTTATAATTCACTTGCGTTCCACTACGAAATTACCATCAATTTCTCTTAATGAAATATAATAAGTTTCTATCTAAAGCCACACACGACTCGAATTAAAAGGAAATCAGTAGATCATTGATGTAGACTGTAGATATTTATCATCGGACAGATTAATCAATGTTAATTCACGGTATTTTCCATTTGATACATTCAATGACATCGTTATTTCGTATAGAAATTGAAAATCAACTACGATTAAGTATTTAATTTATGCACGTAGAACCACGCGGTTTATTCTTTTGAAAGCAACATACAGAGAAGTGTCTGTTAGAAATAATTTGATCGATAATTGAATCGATAACTGATCAGACTAATAGTTTAAATTCAGTAGTCTTTGTCTATACTACATCTTTTATATTCTAACTATTCTCTCCTTTCTACTTTCTTTCTGTCTGCAGAAATTTATCGAACACAAACACCTTACACTAGAAACATTCATTAGATTAATTAAAAATAATCAACGAATGTTATATCTTCTGTCATTTTTATTTTTCCCAAAATTGCTTCATCTATTCTAGAAACACTGTACATTCTTATTCAAATGAATTTAAGAAAACAATGACTTTGAACAAACGAACGTTTTAATTACGATATTTGACACCGTTTTAATTTTAATTTATAGAATAATTTATTTATTTAATAAATCATTAAACATGACTGGGATTGTTTTTGATGGATAATATTAACTAATTATACAACATAATGCAACAATTGAATCACAATATGTATAATATATTTAACACTACAATTTTTTAGAATAGTTTTGTACATTTACAATGTTGGATTTTCAAAGATTTGAATGATTTTTTTTGTAAAATGTACAAATAAAAGTTTGTGCTCTTTATAAACTTTTTTCTATTCTAATGTATAGAGAATTACATTAAAGTATAATGTGTGATATCGAAATTGTGATTAATTCTAGTTAGAATTGAATTGCAGTATCCCAACTTTTTTGAAGATCATATGAAGAGATTTATTTTCTCTAAAAAGCAAAATATATTATAAATTTCCCAGCGAAAGTGTGTATTAATCGTAAATATTAATTAATTAATATTTGATATTAACTTCTAAAAAATGACTATGATAATTACAATATTCTTATTACCTTGAAGACTGTGTGAAAAAATTTCTTTCCTCCAAACACGAAGGATCCAAATTTTGAAATGAAGATGGAAAATAACAATTTGAAATAACGAATCACTTCGTTAATTTGAAAAAATAACTTTACCTTCAAACTGGGTCAAATGAATAATTTGCAAATGATTTTTAGTCGGTTCAGTGAAATAAAATAACAAATAACACCAGCAGAAGGTGAAGTTTAAACAATCAGAAATTGTTCAAAAAATTATTTGTAAAAATGTGAAATAAAAAAATTATTTTATTTGACGACCAAGTAATTAAATAATTCAGAAACAATCACGTACTCGTTTAAACAAATTAGGATTATTTCAATATATCAATCGAGTCATATAAGATGATTATCTAAGTAATCATTTTTCTAATATCTAATTCAAATAATATAATCAAACTTTTGGGAATAAAATAAATATATTAGTATCATATTATATCAATTAATTGTATTTGATATTAGTTTCAAAAAAATTATCTACAAATGCAATCTTTGAATTCTATATGAAAATGATTATTTGATTTAAGAAGCAAATGGTGTTTCTGAGAAAAAGTGTGTTAATTTTTATAGACCGATCATATTAATTTCGAGAAACTATTTGTCACAATAGTTCTATTTCTCTAAAAACTGTACGGAAATATTTCTCTCATTTAAAAATCAAAGAAGAGTGTTAATTTTTAGAGTGTAATTATAACATTAATTGACTTATAACTGCAATATTCTTACTTCTCTACGAAAAGTTTTCGTCTGTTAGACGCAAAAGTTAACTCAGTGTCATTGCACTGAATTTCAAAGTGAAAATCGTCGCATTAATAAAACATGTTGTACATCATTTAAATGTATATGTATATATTCTTTTCGATTTTCAATCAAAGATTTTCCAACAGCAATTTAGATGCATCTGACCGAGAACATCCTCGCAGGAAAATTGAAAATTGAAGATTCGAAGAACTTGAATAATCAAAAAAATCAATCAACGGAACGAGCAAAATCGATAAATGCAAATAAATGCAAATAACATATTATCTAAACAAACGCTGAATTAATTTCTACGCTTGATAAAGAAACTCCAAACTTCTGAGTTGAAGTCTACTTATAACGCCGTAATCGCTCGATATTAACTTTCTACTATTTTCTATCCGAAACACAAACACGTTACACCATTGTTCACCAATGTCAATTGAACCAGGAACGAGTACTACGGTACAACACATCAGGCGTAACCAACGCCTCGAAGATTGAACGCGAAACTGACCGGAAAAGACGAAATGCCGAAGAGACCACGGTCGCGTAGGGTGAGAGACTAACGATCGACTACGAGAGTCCGCGCACGATCTATTTTTGAGACATAATCGGCGACTCGCGCTTCCTCGAGCTTAGAACCAGCGCCAGCCATACTACATACGCGCACGCTAAGCTAATCGACGGCGACGTATTTCGAAAAATTTCACCTATTTGGCTGTTCGTCCAACCAATTCGTCACGATTACGCTGATTTCCGCCGATTTTCCCGGACATCTTCGATCGA